AGGTGTGGGATCTCCGATCAGCTTACTCAATTGCTTCAGGTCTCTTCCTATTTATAGTTCACTTCAACGGTTATAAATTGGGCATAATAAGACCAAACTTTTGGAAGTACTGTTAGGATTACAGATCATGTCTGGAAATGCAAACCCATGTTGGCTTGGAAGGTTAAATTTGTTTCTTAAAATATCTGTTGCCCAAACATAAAGATCAATCAGCCTCTGTCCTTGAGAAGCCCAGATCTTAATAAGAAAAAAAAGGCCAAGATAAAGATTTTTTTTTTGCTCATTGTAAAAGCAGAGCACACATATTATAAAGCACCAGAAAGTCCACTGAAGAATGAATAAGCGGAAAAACCAATCACAAACAAACCACTGTTAATGTGTTGGCATTTTTAGTTCTCTCTCTCTTTTTTTAAGTGGTTGGCTGGGCACAGTGACTTACACCTGTAATCCCAGCATTTTGGGAGGCCAAGGTGGGCAGATGGCTTAAGCCCAGGAACCTGAGACCACATGGTGAAACCTCATCTCTACAAGAAATAAGAAAAAATTAGCCAGGCATGGTGGCCCAGCTACTTGAGAGAGTGAGGTGGGAGAATCACCTGAGCTCAGGAGGCTGAGGCTGCAGCGAGGCATGGTTACACCACTGCACTCCAGCCTAGGTGACGGAGTGAGACCCTGGATCAAGTATCAAAATAGAAGTGGTTATCCCACTTTGTATTTGTTTTCTCCTGCTGCATAACAATTTCCCACAAACTTGGTGGCTTAAAGCAGCATCCTTTTATCTCACAGTTCTGTTAGGTCTGAATTCCAGGTAAACTCAATGAGATTCTCTGCTTAGTCAAGGTTTCGGCAGCTGGACTCTCATCTAGAGGCTGGGGAAGAATCCCCTTCTAGGCTCATTAGGTTGTTGGCTGAATGCACTTTCTTGCGGCTGTAGGACCAGCACCCTGTTTCCTTACTGGCTGTTAAGTGGGGGGGTCTCACTCAGTTTCTAGAAGCTTCTCTCCAGTACCTGCTTGAGATCCCTCCCCCTTTAAAGCCAGTAAGGCCTTGTGAAATCCTTCCTGTGCTTCAGATGTCTATGGCTTTTTCTCCTATTACCAGCCAAAGAAAATGCTTGACTTTTAGAGAGCGCCTGTGATCAAATTAGGCACCTCTGCTTCATCTCTCTCTTGCTGTGCAACGTAGCATAATCTCGGGAATAACGTCAGGGATGACGGCCATTGGGGGCATTTTCAAGTTCTGCCTGGCCCACCCTGTAGGTTCAATGTCATGGCCTAACACCGGGGTGGTGATGAGTACTCATTATCACGCTGGCTGTTTATTGCTAGAAGCTATTTGGGCCATGCTCTGCTTTGGTTAGTTAGTTATGGTTAGTTAATTGTTAGCTATTTTGAAAGTAACCCCCACTTACATGCATTTTCTCTGTCAATGACATTTGTGATGGTTAATATTATGTGTCACCTTAACTGGGCCAAGGGATACCCAGATAGCTGGTAAGACACTCTTTCTGAATGTGCCTGTGAAGGTGTTTCCAGAGAGGTCTGCATTTGAATAGGTAGACTGAGTAAAGAAGATCCACCTTCATCAATGTGGATGGGCATCATCCAATCCATGAGGGCTCAGATAGAACAAAAAGGCAGAAAACGTGTAAACTCCCTCACTCTTCCTGAGGTGGGCCTCCGTCTTCTCTTGCCTTCAGAGCTCTTTGTTCTCAGGCCTTTGGACCCTGGGACTTACACCAGTGCTCCCGACCCTCTGCCCCATCACCAGCTCTCAGGCCCTCAGATTTGCACCGAATTATACCATCTGTTTTCCTAGTTCTCCAGCTTGCAGATAGTGGATGGTAGAACTTCTCAGCCTCCGTAATCACGGAAGTAAATTCTCCAAAGAACCCTCACTAACGCAACATTCTTTTTGCATATTGAACAACTGCATAAGATTCCATTAAACGGATGCACCATAATCTCTAGTAAGTCCGCTAACAAATAACTACAATGTAAGGAGGGTAGATTTGATTCGATAGGCGTGGCAAGCCATGGACACCGGGGAATAACATAACCAGCTTTGTGTTTTAGGCAGATTACTTGGTCAGAACTGGGAATCACTGATGGAAGACTGGGAAGCAACAGAGAAAAAGTGGGGGCCCAGAGAGACTTGAGGTGGAAGAAGTGCCAGCCAACTTGCTTCTTTACCAAGAACCTCACATGTTCAGTCATTTGTTTATCCAGCCAACGCTGAGCACCTGTTGTATTTTTGGCATTGTTCTGGGCCCTGGGGATACAGGACAATAAAGCAGTCTCCCTGTCTTTAAGAAACTTCATTTAACAAGTAAGAGAAATGGATACATAGGCCAAAAACCAAGTTCTAAGTCCTCTGATGGTCTTTCGTACAGGCTCCAGTAAGGGACCAAAGAAGAAGTGAGCAATTCTTCCAGAGGGGAGCAGAAGGACAGAGGAGAGGTCAGAAAAGAGAGGTCTTAAAAGGAAAGTGTTATGGGTTGAATTGTCCTCTCCTCCCGTTCAGATGTTGAGGCCCTAACCCCTAGTACTTGTGAATGTGACCTTATTTGTCAATAGAATGTCTACAGAGGGGATCAAGTTAAAATGGGATCATGATAGAGGGCCCTAATTGAATATGACTGGTGTCCTCTTACAAAGGGTAAATCTTGACATAGACACACACACAGAATGACACCTCGTGAAGATAAGTGCAGCGATCAGAGGGAGATTGCTTCTACAGACATGGAATACTAAAGATTGCCAGCAACCACACACAGAAGCTAGGACGGAGGTCCGACCAGAGCCTTCCCTGCAGCCTTCCCAGGGAGCAGCGCCCTGCTGACACCTTGACCTCAGACTTTCAGCCTCGAGAGCTGTGAGACAATAAATGTCTGTTGTTGAAGCCACTCTGTTTATGGTGCTTTGTTATGGCAGCCCTAGTAAACGAACACAGTAAGTAGACCCAGGGAAGGCCCATTCAGGGAAACGCCAGGGGAGAAAGCAGACTGGCGAGTTCAAAGCCTGGGGAAGGGATGGGGAAGCAGAAGCCAAGACACAGAGGCCGGCAGGGGCCCTGATTGCTGAGCGAAGAAGACTGGATTCATCCAGAAGATGGCGGAGACTCTGGGCAGGATATTGGGCATGGTTGGAGTGTGGTCAGATCAACCCAGCCTATGGGCGGAAGATACATCGGAAGGAAAGCATGTGAAACCAGTTGAGACCCTGTTGAGGTTATCCAGCTAAGTGATGGCAAGGGTCTGCTCTGGGTCAACAACAGGGAAGAGCCCCATCCAGACATTTCACAGAGATAGAAGCATAGAACTTGGTCAGATGAAGCGGGACATTTAAGATGGCTCCCAGATTCTCACCTCCAGGTTACTTTAAAAGCCCCCAAGTTCTAGAACAGGAACATGCAGCCCATTAACCAAGACAAGTCAGTGGGCAGTTTTTAATTCCTCTTGTTGCCAGGAGTGGCGCGGCAACCCTGGGTTACTGTGACAGGATTTGACCATCCGATTTCAGGCTGGCCCCTCTGATAACTGTAGTTGCCATCCCTGCTGAGAAAGGGGAAGCTAAGACTATCATTGTCATATGCCCTCCACACCCTTGAGAAGAAAAAAATCAGTGAGTGTTTCCATAATCACAACTGCCTTGGGAGCTGCCAGGAAATTCCAACAGGAAACTCCCGTTTGGAAGCGTTTTGTTTTGATTAGAACATGTTTATTCCCCTCTAAGGATACACTTTGAAAGCAGCTCAGGGCCTGGTGGCTATCCCTGATACAGGCTCCAGGAGGGCCTTGGCCATCCCTGAGGGCAGGAGGTGTGGCTGGGGTGCTGCTGAGCAAGTCCAGCGAGCTGAGCTCAGGCCCAGCAGAGGGACACTGGGGGCCCCAGGGTAAGGTCCTGAAAGCCCCTCCAGGCTGGCATCTGGAGGAGGATTCTGGGAACCAGAATCAGCCACTTCAAGAGGCACCAGATGCTTTTTAGTTTGGCTTGAGATTCCTGAGGCTCAGATGAGCTCAGTTCCTGAACCAGTGTTCCAAATTGCCATTGAGGTTGATCTTTACAACAAAGACCCAGGAGAAGATGAATCAGCCTCAGCCCTTTGTTTAGGAGGCTCAGGCTTAAGTTCTTCCCAAAGTAGTTCCACCTCACTTTCCAGGCACCAGGAAGGCTGTACCCAATGTCAGGAAGATATTCCAACTGCGAGACCAAATTCAACAGCACCATTACCACTTGCCAACCCCAGCCTCCCTGAAGAAGCTGATAAGCCCTTAGAGACCAGCAGCCCCCCTGGCCTCTTCCACTGCCCTCCATCCATAGAGCAGAGGTCTCAGAGCCCACAGTCAGTGATTTTGTGCAGACACTCCTCCACAAAGAACCCATCATTCTGTTTGGAAGAGCAGTGGCCATCAGCCTTCCGGAGCTAGAACAGGGCTCCTAAGCAGTCTCCTTCTCTTTAAATGGGTTTTAAGTGGCCTTTACAAGTCAAGTCTTTCAGGAAAGTAAGTCTGGAGAATAGACTTCAGCTCTTACTTAGCATGAAGACCAGGGTTAGCAATTGGGATGCCCAATTCCCTTCAGAGCCTATGGTCAAGTGTGCAGGTGATTCTAATCAGCTCTCCATAGCGCGTCTGGGTTTTGGCATCAACTATTCAAAAGAATCAACTTCACAACCAGAAGTCCCTTCCTCCTCAACATTCCAAAATGTGTTAATGGTGTAGGAGGCCATTTGAGCAAGGGACATCGTTGCCTTAGTTTTTGCCACTCAGCTGGACGAGGCTGCTGCAGGGGCTGAAAGATGATGCATGCTCCTTGCTGAGCATTTCAATATACTCAGGGAGATGCCTCAATGCCCAAATTCCAAAAGAAGGGAGGGACTCCTCACCCACTCCTATCCCCACCAACTTGCTTCCTGCTTTACATGGCTGTTTTTTAATCCAGTTTCACTATAATTCCAGTACAGGGATGATATGGTTTGGTATCATTTGCTGTGTCCCCACCCAAATCTCAACTTGAATTGTATTTCCCAGAATCCTCATGCGTTGTGGGAGGGACCCAGGGGAAGGCGATTGAATCATGGGGGTTGGTCTTTCCTGACTATTCTAGTGATAGTGAATAAGTCTCATGAGACCTGATGGGTTTATCAGGGGTTTTTACTTTTGCTTCTCCTCTTTTTTTCTTGCCACCACCATGTAAGACATGCCTTTCTCCTACCACGATTCTGAGGTCTCTCCAGCCATGTGGAACTGTAAGTCCAATTAAACCTCTTTTTCTTCCCAATCTTGGATGTGTCTTTATCAGCAGTGTGAAAACAGACTAATACAAGGGAAGACTATGGAACAGAAGATAACTGCCTTGAAAATGACAGTTTCTCACAGTTCCCCAAAAAGGGGGCACATTCAGGGCCACACTGGGAACGAAGGTCCATTGGGAGACAGGGAGCAAAGGGAGAATGCCAGCAGGAGCCTCTATTGTGGATTTTTCAGGAAGGAATGGTCAAGCCAGGGTAGGCAGAAATAGAATGGGCAAGTTTGGATAGTTTCATGGACTCTGGAACTTAGCATCTGTCCCTAGTTGCCTGGTACTGGTCCTGGGGTGATTAGGGCAGGTGGAGAGTGGCCCAGAGTATGAGGTGTTGGTGTGTGAGCTCTGCATCTGTTGGCCTGCCTATGAAAGGTGCACCCTGCAATGGGTCATTTACTATCTCTGTGTATTGGTCAACCCTGGGGGCAAATCGGGGAAGTAGTCCTCCAGGGTCAGTAAGGCCCTAGCTGTGAAAATATCCAAATTAAAAAACAAAACAAAACAAAAAAACAGAGTTGAGGCTCTACCTCTACAATTTCTTTTCTTAATTAGCTAGGCTTGGTGGCATGCACCTGTCAACCTAGCTGAATGGGAGGCTAAGACAGGAGGTTCACTTGAGGCTAGGAGTTTGAGGCTGCATTGAGCTGTAATCACACCACTTTCCTTCAGCCTGGGCAAATGAGCAAAGGCCCTGTCTCTAAGAAGAAACAAAGAAACAACCTGAGTGCCTCCTTGGTAGTGGGTGCCAACAACTGTCCACCCAAGGATACACACACGACATCTGATGCTGGACAATGAAGATGTCCTATTCTTGGCCTCTCAGGAGTCTCAGGGAAGTTCTGGTAAGCAGTTGCAGCAGAGCTGTTCAGTAGGTCATCAGGCAGACATGGGTAGGGCAGGAGAGACCCCTACCCACCAGCAATGTCAGGCAACCACCAGGTGATGGTCAGATAGTTATTATAATAATAAACTATCTCTCTAAAATAATAATTGGTTACAGCCAGGGCCAGGGAAAGGCAATCTCCCATTAGACAGAAACACCTGAAACTAGTAATCAGCTGCTTCCTGATAAGATCTCAGAAGTTGGACGAGTGGGCTCAAGAATGCACACTAAGAGCAGAATGGCGGCATTTAGCTGGTTATGACTGGTGAGAGGAGAAGGCCTCAAGTGAGCATGTGCACAACTCCAGTAAACACACTGCTCATGCTCCGCTCCCAAGCGCTAGCAGGCCACAGTGCTTGCAGACAGCACACCCCAAGGGCAGATTCGGGGGAGAAGGGATGTGGGATCTTGGAGGTATGCCAGTGTATAAAACCCCAAATCAAAGGTCAAAACTGCACACTTGATCTCTCAAGTCACCAGCTTGGCCCTCTTCCAAATGTGCTTTACTTCCTTTTGTTCTGGCTCTAAAACTTTTTAATAAACTTTCACTCCTACTCTAAAAGTTGCCTCAGTCTCTCCATCTGCCTTATGCCCCTCAGTTGAATTCTTTCTTCTGAGGAGGCAAGAATTGAGGTTGCTGCAGATCCGTAAGGATTCACTGCGGCTAAGATATTTTGGTGCCAGGTCTCTGATGTATTCCACTGCTAACAGAACAATAATACCCATTTTACAGATGACTAAAGTGAAGTGCATGGCATGACCCAAACAGCAAGTGCAGACAGATCTGGGCTTAAAACCCGGGTCTCCTTGGGAACGTCTGTGGAGGCTCCTTTCAGGTACATCCACTGCCTTTCAGGAAGAAGAGGGATCTCCATGCAGTCAGGAGGCTGGACCGGGATCTTGTCCTTAAAACTATTTGGGAAGGGGAGAAAGATATTATCAGAAAACATCTGCTATTGGCTACACAGATAGCCACCTCAATAGCCAAATAAGTATCTGTTTAGTTGAATGAAGCCCGTTAAAACGCAATTAACACTTAAGTGACCTCATTTATCAACTTAATACCATCTCGTGCTGTTTCTTGCTTTACACCTAATTGAACCTCTCATGCATTGTGCCACTGGATTCGATTCAAACACTCACTTAGTGAGTTCTGTTCTGTGCCAGATTCTGTCCTAAAAGCTGGAGAAACCGTAACTAAAGCCCTGTATCTGCCATCAAGATATACTGGTGACAAGGAATAGGTGACAAGCACATTACAATATACAGTACAATAAATACAAATAGGGACCAAGGATAGTGAACACACAAAGAAGGAAACAATAAATGATAAACTCCTTGGACAATAACATTCAGGGAAGGGCTCCTACAGGAAGTGACATCTGGGCTGATTTTTAGAGACAAGTTTACCAGATGAACAAGAAAATATTCCCACTTCTGTTGATGGGAATAACATGGGCAAAGGCCCAGAATAATTGGAATATTTGTCATTGAAGCATTTTTTTATTTTTCTTAGCTGCAGGTAAAAGACTCAAAGATGGCTTAGACAATTTAAAAAAAAAAGATAAAAACACAATGGCCGGGTGCGGTGGCTCACGCCTGTAATCCCAGCACTTTGGGAGTCCAAGGCAGGTGGATTACGAGGTCAAGAGATCAAGACCATCCTGGTCAACATGGTGAAACCCCGTCTCTACTAAAGATACAAAAAATTAGCTGGGCATGGTGGCACGTGCCTGTAATCCCAGCTACTCAGGAGGCTGAGGCGGGAGAATTGCCTGAACCCAGGAGGCGGAGGTTGCAGTGAGCTGAGATCACGCCATTGCACTCCAGCCTGGGTAACAAGAGTGAAACTCCATCTCAAAAGAAAAAAAGATAAAAACAAAAATGAAAGATTAAACTAACGTATCTCACATAAGTCCAGAGGCGGGGCAGTTCCAGGGTTGGTTAACTGAGCAGTTTAATGACATCGGATGGGCCCAGATTTCTTCTGTCTTTCCATTCTGCCTCTCGGTGAATTTTATTCTCAGGCTAGTCTCCTCATGGTCACAGCATGGCTGCAATAGATCCAAACATCACAGCCTCACCCAACAATGTCAAAAGACAAGAAGGAAGTGCATCCCTTCCTTCTGCTTCCTTTTAAGAGTGAAGATATCTTTCAGAAAATCTTTCCTGGGAGCCCCTAGGAGAGTTCCTATAATTCTCATCTGCCAGAATTATATCATATGGCCATTCCTTAATTTAAAAAAATTACCAAACATATGAAAAACTGCTCACCATCACTAATCATTAGAGAAATGCAAATCAAAACGATAATGAGATACCATCTCACACCAGTCAGAATTGTGTTATTAAAAAGTCAAGAAACAACATCTGCTGGCAAGGCTGTGGAGAAATAGGAATGCTTTTACACTGCTGCTGGGAGTATAAATTAGTTCAACATTGTGGAAGACAGGCAGTGGGGTGATTCCTCAAGGCACTAGAACCAGAAATATCATTTGACCCAGGATTCCCATTTCTGGGTATATACCCAAAGGAATATATTTTATTCTACTAAAAAGACACATGCACACATATGTTCATTGCAGCACTATTTACAATAGCAAAGATGTGGAACCAACCCAAATGTTCATCACCATGGAACTCTACACAGCCATATAAAGGAAAGAGATCATGTCCTTTGCAGGGACATGGATGAAGCTGGAAACCATCATCCTCAGCAAACTAACACAGGAACAGAAAACCAAACACCACATGGTCTCACTCATAAGTGGGAGCTGAACAATGAGAATGCAAGGACACAGGGAAGGGAACATCACACACCAGGGCCTGTCGGGGGGTGGGGGAAGTGAGGAGAGGGAGTGCATTAGGACAAATAGCTAATGCATGCGGTGCTTAAAACCTAGGTGATGGGCAGATATGTGCGGCAAGTCAGCAGGCACGTGCATACCCATGGAACAAACCCGCACATTCTGCACTTGTATCCCAGAACTTAAAGTTTAAAAAAAAAATTACTGGCCAGGGAGATAGAACTAGCATTTCCGGTTCTTAGACCAATCAAGGTTCTCTTCTAGGGAGTGCAGAAGATCCGAACTTACCCTTAGTTACATGGCCTCCTAACGCCTGAGCAAATTAGGGTTCTGTGTAAGGGAAAGTGATGGGCCACGGCTACTGTCCGAAGGCCTTGCTTTGGAGAGTGGTCACCTGGGCCTCAGCGCCGGTTCCAGCAGTCTCTCCCTGTGTGTCTTTAGGCAGTCACAGCCCCATCTGAGCAGCTCCTTTTCCCTTAATCAGGAAATCAACTACAAGAGGGCTTTGCTCAAGTGAGCCAGGAGGAGGTGCAGAGAAGCATGGGAAATACAATGAAGCTGAGTCGTAGCAGGGACCCCATCCCCTAAGTCCATAACTTGTCATCATTTGGTTGCTCTTTCATCTGCCCCACATTGCAGACGGTGTGGGGCCTTTGGTCCTTCCAGGGCTCCACCTCCACACTCCACAGACATCTGCTTCCTGCAGAGGTGGCTGATGCTCACCGAAGAGCCAAGTGCTCCCATTTCCCTACAGTCAGGTTGGGGAAATGTGCCTGGGTTCTGACCAATGGAATGTGGCTGAGCCTTAAAGCCACCCTGACCAGCCCTTTCCTGATAGCTCCCTGGGAGTCTGCACGTTCTAACCTGTGTGGGTACCAACTGGCCCACATCAGCCTGTAATGTGATGCTTCAACAGGGTGTGAGCGGGACCAAATGTGTTCAATGGTATGAAAGAGTTCTGTAAACTAGAAAGTGATATTTACATGTGAGCAAATAACAGAATTAAGGGTAATACCGTCGTTAGTTGCTACAATGGCACTGGTAATGGAGGTGGGGGATAAGTTACAGTGGCAGCTGGGTAGTAATTCTAGAAGCTGCAGTTGTGGGGTGAGAGTAACCAGGCGGAGCTAGGATAATGGTGGTGTCAGTGGTAGTGACACAGTAATGTGATATGGACAGCCTCGATGGTGGTGGCATATTTGGAAATAAGCTAAAATCTGCACAGTAATGTTAATAGTGGTAATGATGGTGATGGGAGCAGCTGCACAAAGCCTGTCTGCATTCTCAGCAGTGAGGGCAGAGCCAGCACAGTGATGCTGGGTCTTGCTCAGAGTCATCCGTGTTTCTCCATCCTTAGCTCTTTGCCATTATTTTAAGCATTTAGTAGGCCTGGCTGCTCTTACTTGTGAGAGCCCCGCCCCCTTCAAAAGAAATTGTTTGATGTATTTCATAGTAAGAAAACATCTATAGATCATCAGGCTCCCCAAATTATGTATATAATTCTAAATGAGTTTAACTGTGGCTGACCGTTGGTAGGTTTGTAGACTTCCAATTAAATAATAAATAGGATTTTGGGAAACCAAATGCTACATGTTCTCACTTATAAGTGAGGACTAAGCTGTGGGCGTGCAAAGGCATACAGAGTGAGGTAATGGACTTTGGAGACTCAGACTGGGGGACGGGGGAGTGGGGCGAGAGATAGAACATCATCTGTTGAGCACAATGTACACCATTCAGGTGGCAGGTACACTAAAAGCCCAGATTTCATCACTATACAATTCATCCATGTATCCAAAAGCCACTTGTACCCCTAAAGCTATTGAATTTTTTTCAATTTGCTGTTTGCGTTATGTGCTTTGCAGCAAATTTTCAGGCCTCAAACATTTTGTAGGCTCTCAAAAAGTGTATAGACCCTAGGCACGGTACCTAATAGTGGCTAGTGGTCAAAGCATCTCTGGCTTTAGGGGCTGTCCAAGGAGGGAAGGAATGGATTCTTCCTACACCCACCACACGGCTTGATTAGTCCTTAGATGAGGGTCCCTGGCCCAATGTGGTAAAGGCCATCTATGGGTCCCTCTCTCCAGTAACAAGGTCCCAGAGATCACAGACACACGCACGCACGTGCACGCGCGTGCGCGCGCGCGCGCGCACACACACACACACCTACAATTCTAGAGGTTGGAAGACTAGGCCAGGCTGTTATCCCCTGTGGCTGGTGCACCAGGGCCTCCTAGGACATGGGGGAACCAGAGCCCAGCCCTAAGGACTCAGGCTACCAAAGGTTTCCACTGAGTCAGCGTCTTCCTTGCAAGCATTAATGATTACTGTTTTAAAGCAAAGCAACAGACAGAGGGACCGACAGGTGGCTAAAGTGGCCTGAGCAGATGTTTCTGACAATTCCCCACTGGGGGAGGGCTCCTGAGCCTGGGGTCCAGGTCCCAGATGGAATCCTAAAGGTTTGGAGTGGCTTAGGAGCAGAGTTTAAAGGCACCAGAGAATTCAGGTGAGGGTCTGGGAATGGAAAAGTCACCTTTAGCCTCAGAAAGGTGCCAGATCTTGTTGAAGGACCCTCGAGGGCTGCAGTCTCTGGATACCCAAGGGGCTTTCTCATGCAAAGGGCAACGGACAGGGAAGCTGAAACATATCTGAATGGCTGACAAAGGTTCTCATCTCAGGCTTGGAGAGAGCAGAAGTAAGACTTGCTGATGGCTCCTGACTCCTGCAGAGCAAAATCCCAGCTCCTACCCATGGCATGCAGGACTATCTGTGATGGGATCACTCGTCCTTATAACACTTTTAAAATTCAGCTTTCCCAAGGGTCAAGAGCCACCTACTCACCTTCCTTCCTCATCTCTATCTCTCAGCCACACCAACCTGTCTGTGACCAGCCCCGCGTCTGGGCCTGCTGTTCCTCAAGCTCACCCCTTCCTTGAAACCAACCGCGATCTTCCCAGGCAGCACCGGTCAGGCCTTCGGCTGGCCCCCGTCTTGGGTGCATCCTTACGAAATTGTATGTATTTTGCTGACCTGAGATTTTTTGTTTACGTGACTGTCTCTGCACAAGTGCATGAGTTCCTCCATGCAGGACTGTTTTATTCATTTGAGTGTCCTCAGCACCATGCCGGGTTCTTGCCCTATGGTGTGTCCACAGTAAATAGGCGAGACATGAATGAAGAGCAACTCGATTAATACATGAAAATGTAACTGAATCATTGAAAGAATGAGAGCAGGGGGCATTTACTTTCAATAACGGACATTATCTGGTGTTACTAAATCCCCTAAGCACTGTCTGTGTGAAAGGAGGCCTCCTGCCTCTGTTAGGGCTTCCTTAAGGGAAGAGTTCTCCCTCCCTGACAAGGGCCCCCCTCGGGGGCTGTGGAGTGGCTTTGCAGCTGCCGCTAACCCTAACCATGTGCGCGTGCTGGGCGGCCGGCGGGCCACTTCATTACTTTGTGCTTAAGGAAATGCCTCCCAGCTCTGCACTTGCCTTTTTACATTTCACAACCACTAAATTCACTCCCAGCATTGCTTTATAGCAAACGAAAGTAGTGTGGGGGATCCACAACAGACATCTCTCCACCCAGCCAGCCGGGAGCAGCCTGAGACTGGGGAGGAGGGGGAACCCACAGCTGTCCCAGGCTGCCTCTCCAGGGAGACCCTGGCCTCAGCAGAATCTGCCCAGCTGGGGTTAGGGAAAGCTTCTCTTCCATAATTAAAATCTGAGCCTTTTTTTTTAATCTTTTTTTTTTTTTTTTTTTTTGCAGTCATTTTAGGTTCACAGCAAAACTGAGCAGAAAGTAAAGAGAATTCCCGTATACACCCTTTTCCCACATACTCACAGCCACCCCTACAATCCATTTCCCACACCAGAGTATGACTGTAACAATCAATGAACACATACTGAGACACCACGACCCGACGTCCACAGTTTACGTAAGGGTTCCCTGGTGGTGGTTGCACATGCTGTGGATTTGGACAAACATATAATGCCGTGGAACCACCATGGTGGGATCACACAGAATAGTTTTGCTGTCCTAAGAATCCCCTGTGCTCTGCCTATTTCTACTCCTTCTCTGAACCCTTGGCAGCCACTGACCTTGTTACTGTCTCCATAGTTTTGTCTTTTCCAGATGGTCTTAGAGTTAGAATCATAGAATAAGTAGGTTTTTCAGATTGGGACCTTTCACTTGATACTAGGAATTAAAGGTTCCTCCGTGTCTTCTCACAAGCCTAAGTCTTTTAATAGGTGCTGCAGACTTAGGAGCACTTGTCTAGCGACAAGCTCAATGTGGCTTTAGATTCTAACTTCGCCATTTGTGAGCTTGGACCCCAACTCACTCCCTCCAGCCCCTGCACTGCGCACTACCATCTCCTCCTCTGCCAGGTTTTGTCAGCCTTTCTCTCCTATTTTGTTTTATTTACCTCGACACCAAGCCAGGACCCAACCACGGTTTCCATCCAGCGAAAGGCTATGACCTTGGAGCAATTGATGGACAACTGGGATATCAGTAACTCAAAAGCCCCCTGCCCCTTTTTTGAGACAGAATCTTGCTGTGTTGCCCAGGTTGATCTCAAAATCCTGGGCTCAAGCAATTCTATCTCAGCTTTCTAAGTAGCTGCAATTACAGGCTCAAGCTATCATGCCCATCCAAAGGCCTTCTTAACTGAAAACTGTGAGGCACTGTTTCCTAAGTGAGTGGCACTGCAGAGTAAGAAGACCCCAGAAACAGGAGATGTGGGTCCCAGTCCCAACTCTACCCCCTGAGCTACTGGGGAAGTGTCTCAGGCCTCTCTTTGTCCTCTGTTAACATCATGGAGATGTCGGCGACCTCAAAGGCAGGGAGTGAAAATGAAACAAGATGCTGGCAAGAAGCAGGCCCTGGGGACTATAAACTCTGGACTCTAGGAGGCAGTATTTTGGAGGGGTCATCCCCAAAATTCAAGCCAGCTGGTTGTCTCTGCCTTCTGCAAAGCACAGATAGAGGTCAGATGGGGACACAGTTCCCCTGGAATCTACCTTTATATGCCTTGATGGCCTTCATGAAGCTAAATATCACAGCTTCCAGACACTTTCCAATGGCATGACATTGAGTTACTGTCTAATTCTCCCAATAAGCCACAGAGAAGATACCACCATCCTTCAGGAGCCTGTCCTGCCATCAGGGTGGCCCAGCTAGCAGGGAGCAGCACTGGCGTTCAAGTCATGCCCTCAGGCAACCCCAACACCCCTGCTTTCACCAACCATGGGTGTCTGCTCTTTTCCATCAAAGACCTGGAAGAGCTCACATAGGAACACGCCTTTATGTAAACTGACTAAGTATCCTGGAGATCACTTGCCCAAGGCATGCTCTGGGGTTTGAATAAATGACTTCCCTAAGAAATGCCATCAATTCAATGCACCCAGCTTTGCATCACCAGCAGGTCCTGAGGAGTGCTCCAAATGGGAATGCCAGTTTGGGCCTCTCAAACTCCACCCCCTGGCATGACCCACCTCTAGAAGGTCTGTTGCCCACAATGTTGCCAGACCCCTGGCCTGGCAGTTGTACATGTCTTGGAGCTTCCTGTGGAATATCAGAAGTATTTACCCCCTTGGCCATGTGCCAAGGGATAGAAACTGGTAAGGGCTTAGCTTTCCAACTTTTCTCCCTGTCTGTCCCAGCTTGGCCTGTGGATCACTGTTCAGGCTAGGCTCCATCTAGGAGCTCTCTTCCCTCATTCTCTCACATCACAAAGTTCACCGAGCTTCCCCCACGCACACTAAGGATGCAGATGTGAGTCACACGCGGTTCCTATCTCAGAGGAGGCCAATGGCTTATCTGCACAGGCAATGGGCTGTGAAGACAATCTAGTGAATGAAATCAACTGTCTCATTGGCCTCCTTCCCAAGCCTGCTGCCTCTCTAGCACAAAGCCAGATAGGGCTCCAGAGCGATGGGAGAAGGAAGCCAGCGCTGGGGCAGGCTGGGGCAATCCAGGAAACTGAGGCTAAGGGAGGTTTCACGACCTGCCCAAGGTCACTCATCAAGTAAATGGCACATTCAGAGCGAGGACCACCAGGGAGGAAGGGAATGGGGAGAGAGCCCCTGGCAATGACTACTTCTTGGGGGGGTCATCAGCAGGGCCACTCAAATGCCACGCACACTGGAAGGCCTGCTCACCTAGTGTCATAAGAGTGAGACTCCCACATTCCAAACTCCAGCCTGAAGCTGCTGCTCAGCACAGAGATGGGATCCAGGTTACAAACAGTACCGCGCTAGACCCAGGCAACGAGGCCCTGCCCTCCCTGGAGATGTGGAGGGCCGGCTGGGTCCCCCTGCAACAGCGCCCCTCCCTCCAAAGAGCAGAATCTGCTGTGCCAAGGAAATGGCTCACGCTGGGCCTAAGTCCCTCCCCACTCCCTGGACCATGCTCTATAAAGCCAAGACCCAGGAATGCCAGGCCGCCCAAATCCCTCGGAACTTGCTTCCAGGGTCCACACTCCCAATGGCTGACTGGGCCACGAGGTGTTCACGACTAGGTCCAAGGGGTGGCAAAGAGGTGACTGTTTGGAGGTCAGGAGGGACAGAGCTTGGACTGGGAACACGGAACGTTCCATGAGGTCCCATCCTGGTGGGGAACAAAGCCAGGGTTGTGGAAGAAAGGAGGCTGCAGGCCAGGTACCTTTCTGAGTTCCTGAAACGCGAGCGGGTGGCTAGGGGGACGATGTGCGGAGCCCTCCCAGACCGCCCTCCTGTCCCAGCACGCCTTCCTCACTGCGCAGGCGCAGAGCTGCGGCCACCTTCTGAGCAGCCCTGATCGCGCAGCCACCAGGAGCCTCAGCCACCAGGAGCCACGCCGCTGCCTCTCTCCTTCGGTTGCTAGAGAAGCCATTTTAGAAAACCTTTTCTGCCAACAGCCAAGGTTACCTTGTCAGAGCCTGGCTCGGAGTACCTGGCCTTTCAGCCCTGGGCGGGACACAGTCAGATGGGGCTGCCGGAGGAGGGGACCATGGGAGAGGCTGAGGGAACACAGCCTGATCACTCTCTTTCTTTCTTTTTTTTCCTTTTTTCTTTTTTGAGACGGAGTCTCGTTCTGTCGCCCAGGCTGGAGTGCTGCAGCGGTGCGATCTCGGCTCACTGCAACCTCTAACTCCTGGGTTCAAGCAATTCTCCTGTCTCAACCTCCCGAGTAACCGGGATTACAGGTGCCCCCCCCACCACACCGGGCTAATTTTTGTATTTTTATTAGAGATGGAGTTTCACCATGTTGGCCAGGCTGGTCTCAAACTGTTGACCTCAGGTCCTCCGCTCGACTTGGCCTCCCAAAGTGCTGGGATTACAGGCGTGAACCACTGCGCCGGCCTGCTCTGGTCACTCTTGCAAGAACCAGACTTGTCCCCAGTCTCTCCCTATTTGTCCTTTCATCTCTCCCAAGAGATCCTGTCTCCTAGACCCTGGCCCGCTCCTGTACCCGCTGCTTGCTCTGGCTTGTCTGTCATGGGCTTCTCTGCTTCATTCCCCCCAAGTGTCAGGGGTTTCACGTGGCAGGAGTGGGAAGTTGAAGGAAACTGGTATTTCCCTATTAGGACTCAAGGCGAAGTGCCTTCAAGGACTCAGTTTTCTCCTGCTAGAATGAACCATCTCTTAGCAATGCTCTGCATGTTCTGGTGGGAACAGAGCTTCCATCTCTTCTCTCCATGTTGCCAGTGACCCCCTGCTGCCACCAGAGCTGTTCGGGGACCAACGCCCCAGGGTGGGAGGAAGGGAGAACACACATCCCACGCAGGGGCTCAGCAGACCTGGTCCATGAGGAGGCCTGGACCGGAGCATCCCCTATCCTAAAGAAGAAAGTGCGTATTTGATCCCAAAGGAACCAGCAATTCAAGAAAGGATTGGCCTTGAGAGAGGAGGGGAAGGGCAGGAAATGTGAGTGTGCCTGCCTGGGTCCTTCTTTCTCTACCGATGCTAGGAGGGAGACTTCAGAGAATGGGAGGCAGAAAGGGTGTGAGGGATGCCCGCCCCCAGTGAGGAGTTCCACCTGGGCTGGCTCTTTGACTTCCTCAAGTGGTCTCACTGCCTTGAGCCCAGGTTTGCCCATCTCCAGAATGAGAATGGCACCCTCCCACCTGGTACTGCTGAGATGGAAAGGGAGCAAGGCTGGCCCCAAGGAGGTCCTCTGCCAGCCTCTGTCCCTGTCCTTTGTGAGCTCCATACTTCTAAAGGGTCTGCAATTGGGGACTGCAAGAATCAGAGGGTCGAGTGACACAGTGACACAGAGCTGTAAGCTGGCGTGGTCGCTCTCTCTGTTCTACTAGAAGGTGTGCTCTGAGAGGGCAGACAGCTGATGGGACTTGTTCCCACTGTCTCTGACTTTGAGAGGAGAACCTGGGCTGGGCTACAGCAGGTAAGTCTCTGTGGTAGGAACAGATGTCATCTCAACACCTGGCACAGGAATTCAAGCTCTTGCTTATCAAGGCTTCCTAGGTCCCCAAAAGCAAAGATCCTCATTATGAGGGGTGTATTTTTTTCCAAAGACCAGAAATAGTTCAATATAGCCATTTCTGAATACAGAATTGCTCAAGTGAATAGAACAACAAATGAGACGCAAAGAATAAAGAGACAAAAGAGACAAAGCCAGATGACGCTGGGCTCCCTGGGTACCAGTTTCTGGTGCTCCTTGTGGGCACCCTGAGGGTACGTCCACACAGGGGGACAGATGCCCCCATGCATTAACAGCCAGGAGCTCCATTCATCACGCTGCTTCCCTTCTTGATTCATTGTGATTTTAGCCAAAAGCACCTGTTGAAGATCCAGTTTTTTTCTTCTCAAAAGAAGAATCAGAACAGGAATGTGAGAGAAGTTAGACATGCTCATTTTTTAAAAAGCCTCAATAATAATTGCAAAGTGGTTCAATTAAAGTAACAAAAAAGGAGATTGCAATTGATTTCTAGAAAGTCGGAGTTTATTGTTAACATTCTGCTTTGAATCTGAGATTGAAAAGCTTCAAGAGGAAAACGATCATGAATACAGCCTTTAAAGGATTTCTTCATTTTTAAAGAAATAGCTCAGTCTCCTTTTCTGAGATCCTAAGATACTCAGCTGAATATTTGAAAAAAAATTTTTTAAGACCCAGCTTCATATTCCTGAGAACCTCATAGACTTTCAAAGCTGGAACCACCTCAAAAGCCTCAAAGCTCCAGCCAATTCTGTATTCCTCCTTGGAGTGAAGAAAGCAGGGTCTTTGAACTTGGATAGGCAGGTTTCACACCCCAGCTTGGCCAGCTGATGGGGGAGCGGCCGCAGGCAAGTCACTTCGCTGCTCTGGAACTCAGCAAACACTTCTGAGCAAAGTGCTGATGATAATTCCCACCTCGTGGAGGTAGGAAACTATTAACCAACACAATATATTGCAAACCCTCGGATTAGTGCCTGGGTGTTTCTCTTGGAGAGGGTCATGAGATGATCATTAGTGGCCAAAGAGAGATATCTCAGTAAGCTCAGGCCTAGGTCTTGTGAAATATGCAAGAAAGGGTACTCACCTATGCTAGGCTTACTGCTGTCTTCTATTCAGCAGGAATACGCTCACGTAGACATACCCCCCCCTACTCCTCCGAGGCCAGCCTGATCCACGTACACACATACCTGCTTCTCCTAAAGTCAGCCAAGGTTCTAAGTCCAGCGTGCAGGACACTTGCTGTCCCTCCCCACTCTGCTTGTTCCTACATTTACTGCCACCTAGTCTAAGCTCTCAGTTTCAAGAATCCAACCTTAAAGCCCACCTTCCCCACCCGCCTCCCCACTGCTTCCAGCACATTCTCCTGTTTTAAGGATCTTTCTCCCCCAGTTTCCCTTATTGCCTCAGGGAGGAGCCCCTGGCTCTAACCAATTCCCTCAAAACACTCAGCCTTATTGCTCTTCCAGGGCCCTCACTCAATGGGGACATGGGTTGAATTTCTGCCTAGGAGGGACAAGGGATGGCAATTCAATGGGGATGGAGAGGGGGTGTCACTGAAAGGCTTGTCCGGATGCACCATCACATACCTGTGGCGTTGGGAAGAAAGGCGGAGAGATTATGAGGAGGCTGGATGCCTTCTGCCCATGTCTGCCCTGGTATCTGGAACCCGTATTCACAGCTCCCCTTCCAGATCAGCAGTCTTACTCATCCACTGCTCCTGGATCAAGAATGGTGGGAAAGAAAAGAACAAACATTTCTCAGACCCTAACGAAAGAACTAAGTGGTCCACATTCTCTTCTGGGCGCTTTTGCATCTGGGTGTCTAAAGACTCGGCACGGTGCTAGCCCAGCTGAGCATTTCCCAGGACGCCCTTCCCAGATGCTGTGTCAGCTCACACATGTGGTCACGAACCTGCACGTCCACCTTGTGGCCGGGGCAGCAGCTCCTGCTCCCTGTGTGTCCTTCAGCCTCTCCAGGTGCATGTGCAGCTGTGTGGTGAGGATGCCCAGCCACCTGCAGGTCACCTGCATCGCCGAGGTTGGAGGTGATGAGGACCCGAGGCCACCCTCGCTGAATTCCTTTCTGGTTCTGGTTTGGCCTTCCCCTCCCCTACTCCATGCCCATCCCTCCTGGCCCTTGTTCTAAATCACTCACTGTGGCCCTTGTTATTTTAAGGAACCCCTGAGTAATAGAGTTAGGACAGTGCAGTGGTTAAGAAGGTAGCTTCTGGAACCACACATCCTGAGTGCAAGTCCTGATCATGCTGGGTCACTTTTAGCTGTCGACCTTTGCTCTTACCACTACCCATCTCACTTTGTTCATCTGTAAAATGGGAATAATACAACAGTATCTTCCTCATAGGGGGTCATGAGACATGAATGACTTGATATCTGGAAGGCGTTTGGAGTATTTACCACCCTCAAGAGCATCTCAGTTTGTCTTTAAAAACCTACTGAGATGGGTATATTCCTGTATTCATAGATCAGTGGAGTGAGACTCAGACAGGCTAAGTGACTTTACCAGGGCCACGTGGCTGGTAACTGACAGAGCCAAATTCCATCCCGGGCCAGTTTGCTTCCAAACAACACCAAGCAAGGGAAGAGTCCCACTTCCATTCCTTCTCTCCCCAGTTCTTTTGGGAAGTTGTCTCTTTGTAAAGCTTTCAAGCCTCTCATTTCATAAGGACTTTTAATCACTTTAATCAAGAATGAAAATATTCATCAACTTAGGTCTTTTTTAGACAGATTCAAAGATCTCTCGGAGGGGACTATTTCCCCCTTGATACTGAATCCTTTTCTGAACACAGTTTGATTTTACTCACGACTAATTTGGAATTTTAATTAATTGACAAGTATTTATTCTTCTCTCGTCTCCCTCCAATGTTGTGCTAAATGCTACGGGAGAAACAAGCATCTGTGATGTTGTGGGAAATCCACTAGACGTGAGCTTGAAAAACCCACACTTACCTATTCACTCTGCAGTTTCTTCTCTGTAAAAGAGTGATAAGGAGACCCACTTCAGTACTAGCAATTGTAGTGGACTGAATGGTGGCTCCAAAAAGGTATGCTCACATCCTAACACCCAGACTCTGTGAATGTGAACTTATTGCATAAAAGGGTCTTTGCAGAGGTAATTAAGTTAAAAATCTTAAGATGAGGACATGACTATGGATTAGCTGGGTGGACCCTACATCCAATGGCAAGTGTCCTTATAAGAGACAGAAGAGGAGGAGACACAGACATAAGAGGAAGAGAAAGACCATGTGAAAACAGGGAATGTCTAGAGCCACCAGAAACTGGGAAAGAAAAGAAAGAATTCTTCCCTGGACCCTGCTGACAGCTTGATTTTGGACGTACGGCAACTAGGACTGTGAAAGAATGTTTCCATTGCTTAAGCCCCCAAGTTTGTGGTACTTTGTTATGGCAATGCTAGGAAGCTAACACGGTTATCTATTACCTTAAAATGGCATCCATTTATTATCTTACAGTTTTATAGATCGGAAGTCTAGACACAGCTTGGCGGGGTTTTCTTCCCAGGTTCTCACAAGGCTAAAAGCAAGAGCTGTGTGCTCATTGCAGCTTGGGGTTGCCTGTAAGCACCAGTGGTTGTGGCACAATTCAGTTCCTTGTGATTGTCGGCTAATATCCCTGTTTCTTGGCTGGCTACTGTCCAAGGGCCACTCTCAGCTCCCAGAGGCCACTTGCATTCCCTGCCTCCTGGGCACCTCCATCTTCAAGTCAACAGCAGCAAATCTCCCTCAGGCCTAATCCCTCACCCGTCAGACTCAGGCTTACCGTGTCTCTGACCTCTAGAACCAGATTTAAAGAGCTCCTGTGATTAGGTCAGTCCTACTCAGATAATTTCTTTTTCTTAAAGTCAATGGGTTTTGTTCATTTGTTTGTTTTTTGTTGTCTTGTTTTGTTTTGTTTTTTAAGATGGAATCTCACTTTGTCACTTGGGCTGTAGTGCAGTAGCACAATCTTGGCTCACTGCAACCCCTGCCTCCCAGATTCAAGCTGTTCTCCTGCCTCAGCCTCTCGAGTAGCTGGTACTATAGGTGTGCACCACATCTTGCTAATTTTTCTGTTTTTAGTAGAGATGGGGTTTCACCATATTGGCCAGACTGGTCTTGAACACCTGACCTCAGGTGATCCGTCCACCTCGGCCTCCCACAGTGCAGGGATTACAGGTATCAGCCACTGCTCCTGGCCAAAGTCAATGTTAAATGTAGTAATGGCTGTGAAACTGTCTTGTAAATAACAATGCTGAACAAATATGAAAGATTATACTTTTAAAAATTTCACACTTATTTTAAATAAGAAAAAAAAAAGGTGAAAGGGCATAAATTATGTTCTCCAGAAGAGACGTGAACACCTAGATGGAGGGAAGCCTGGGATGGTGTCTCAGAGAGGCCATGAAGGTGAACTGGAATTATAATCACAGTCAATCCCATGTACTGGTCTGAATGTATCAACTCAATCTTCATGATAACCCTAGAAGGTGCCCATTCAGGCTGTTATAACAAAATACTTAGTCTGGATAATTTATAAACAACAGAAATGTATTGCTTACAGGTCTAGAGGCTGAGGAGTCCAAGATCAAGACATTAACGGATTGGCTGTCTTGTGAGGGCCCATCCTTGTAGCTGGAAGCTTCTGTGTTTCCTCTTTTGGCAGAAGAAGTAAAACAAGCTCCCTTAGGTTCTTATATAAGGGCACTAATCCCATTTATGAGGGCACAGCCCTCTTAACCTAATCACCTTTCAAAGACCCACCCCGTAATGCTATTATCTCAGGGGTTGTTTCAACATATGAATTATGGAGGTGCACACACATTCAGACCTTAACAGCTGCTACTATTATCAACTTTATTTTTGCAAATGAGAAAGCTGAATTTGGGAAACTGAAGTAAATTGCTGGGAGCAATATGCACCCAATAAGCAGTAAAGGTAGGAGCTGCCTCCACTTGTCTAGCTTCTAAGTGGTCTCGGTTACAATGCTGCACCTGCCTCTTACAGAGGGAAGAATGAATCATGGATCAAGCTGAAGCACTGGGGTGAGACATGACTGGCAAGCAACCCAGGAATGGAGTGGCAGGGGGAGTTAAGAAGACATGTGATGAGTGAGAGGGGGCAGAAGGCAGGGAGCACGCCAGCTGAAGGTCCAATCTCACACAGGGAGAAAGGCCTAAAGGTAACATAATGTATTTGTAGAGTCGAAAGGAAGCGAATTCAGCATGTCCAGAATGAATGTTTTATATAACTATTGTCTATTGCTAATCGGCTCTAGGGCCTCAGAAACCTATACCAGGTTGAGTCCGCTTTACTTCTGGGTCACAAAAACATGTGGGAATCATGAATGTAGATTATGTTGGGAATTGATAGTTACAGCCCTGAGTGGCTTATTTTTTATTTTTTATTCGTTTGAGACAGTCAGATTCTGTTGTCCATGCTGGAGTGCAGTAGCACAATCAGGGTTCACTATAGCCTTGACCTCCCAGACTCAAGCAAACCTCCCGCCTCAGGCCTCCGAGTAGCTGGGACTATAAGCACACACCACCATGCCCAGATAATATTTTGGAATTTTTGTACAGACAAGGTTTTGCCATTTTACGCATGCTGGTCTCAAATTCCTAGACTCAAGCCATCCAAGTGCCTTTCTTCACCACACCTGGCCCCGAGTGGCTTTAAACAACAATCTAAACCTCTAACAGCAAGAATTTTGTGGCAGATCGTATTTTTCAGAGTTGATCCCAGCACATTCCATCCCACATTTTCTTCTTCAAATGTGACATTGGACCTGTGTTTCACCTCCTGAGTCTCACTCTGTGACTGCTTGACCAGTAGAAACTGGTAGCTTCCAGTCGTAGTCTTATAGGATGCTTGTTCTTTAAACCCAGCCTCCATGCAGTGAGGAAGCCCAGTCTGCCCCATGGACAGGCCCACGTAGAGAGGAAGGAATCATCAGCACCTAAATGTCAGCATATAGATGAGCCCTCTCCAGGATGCTCCAGCCCCAGTTGAGCCACCCCAGTTTATGTGATACATCAAAAAGTTGAGCTGACCCTGCTGAAACTTGTCCAAAATACAGACAGAAAAGCAAAATTACTAATTATTGTTGTTCTAAACTACTAAGTTTTGGATTGGATTGTTATGCAGCAACAGGTAACTACGACAGATATTTGTACCTGACGTCAGGTACTATCATAATATAATCCTATAATGTATGACACTGGCTTTGGGACCACGCAGCCTAAGAGCCACAAAGAAAACGTTAGTGAAAACCTTAGGGCCTTGAGAAGGTTGTCAATGAGGGCATTCAGGAAAATCATGGAAATATTATAGGAATCTTAAAGTCAAGGGTGTCCTTGTCATGTAGTGGCAGAAAGTTTAGCAACACTGTAGCTTGTAGTAACACAGAAAATAGGAAGGTATCTAGTAATCTTGATGATCTAGCTAAGATTTCCAGGCAGAATACTGAAAGTGCCACCTGACTTCTTACTATCTATGGTAAAATGTGAGAGGAGAGAGACGAGCTCAAGAATCCAGAAGAGCCGGGTTTAAAAATTAAATGTTCTAGCCTGGGCAACATAACAAGACCCCAACTCCAAACAAATTTTGAAAAATAGCTAGGAATAGCAGCTCACACTTATAGTCCCAACTACTTGGGAGGCTGAAGTAGGAGGATCACTTGAGCCCAGGGCTGCAGTGAGCTACGGTCATGCAGCTGTACTCCGGTGTGGGCAACAGAGCAAGACCTCATCTTTAAAAAAGAAGTAAAAGTAAAGTCAAATGTTTTCATTCCCAAGTTCTTTCCCGATACAAATAATTCTCAAAGAAAGGAACTTTGGCCAAATATAAATCCAGGATGCATGCCCCTTAGAATCTCTCAGACAGACAAAAGGTCCTGTAAGAATCTTAAGGGATGTTTCAGCCAAGCGGATCAAAGGATACCCTATGACAACAAAGATGAACTGTCCGCACTGAGCACCATCCAAATGATGAATTTACGAGCCAAGTTAATGTTGTGTTGCTCTAGCCCACTACGTTTTGGAGTTATTGGTTATGCAGCAATTGATAACTGGAGCAGATGTAAATTACAGGGTTCTCTGTCCAGTACCCACCGATACAGTGGCCTCTCTTATGCAAAGCTGGGGCTTAGTGTTCTGTCTCCTGACCCACAGAATCTCTGGTGGACAAGTTCTGGATGGCATTGGAGACAGGGAAGTCTTCACTCATTTGGTGGCTTTTCTGAATCTCAGAGGAACCTATATTTTTGATAGAGAGAAATCATGAAGACTGGCTTCCCAAGCTTCAGCCTCAGGAGAGGCGCCATGTGGTAGGGACAGGTCTAAGGTGAGCTGGGCTGGGACACAGGGAGGGAAATGACCTGACCCAGAAGAAGCAGCTGGGTGTTCTCTTCCAGGGTCCCTTCTTTGAGCAGATTCCAATGGGGCATCGGGGAAGTACTCAGAGTCTTCCTCCTTCCTGCTGGATCGGGTAGCAGGCTGACTTCTGTGAGAGGTCCGAGAAGCGGCACCTGTGGGGGCCCTGACCCTCCTTCCCCTCATCCATTTATTATTGATCAGTCATTGGCCAAGGCCTCCACCATGCAAAGCATGGGGGACAAAGAGCCATCTCTGATGGAAGAGGCAGGGAGGGACACAGATGACCTCGGCAGGCACTTTAGAGTCTCCACTGAAGACTCGCTGTGGCTGTGACAGGTCAGAGAAAGGAGCCATGAAGGCCTGGGATATAGGGAAGGACTGCAGATGCAGGAGGCACACAGGCGGGCAAGGCTCCTTACCTAAGCTGGAGCAACACCCAGGATCTCAGTGTGACCTCGTCCCTCCGCTGTGCTCCAGGCTGAGACCCCAACCAGCAAGAACCCCTGCCAGTTTCCTCCAGGCCATGCCACTGAGCTTTTCTTAAAGATGTTCTTTATTCTTGGAAAACTTCTCCCCACTTTGTCTGGCGAATTCCTATTCCTCCTTAGAAACTCTTATAACCTCAGTAACACCATTCATTTGGTCCTTATCCTCTGAGATATGCATAATTCCTCTCCCTTATTTTAAAGGTAAGGAAACAAAGGCTCAGATAGTTTAGACACTTTCTCAGTGTCCACACTGAGAGATACAGTATACACACGCTGAGCCATTGCACACAGCCATAATCTGAATTGAGAAGCCAGAAACTATTTAAAACTTGCATCCTCCATCCTCCTGAAAATTATTAATAAAAAAGATGATGTTGATTAAATCAACAAAAAAAGTCTTCTTTTCTTTTTACCCAAGGGGTTTTAGGCGTGTCTGTAATATTCTAATTCTTTTTAAAATATAAAGCCAGTGTGGCAAAATAGTCAGATTTGATAAGAGTTAGGTAATGGTCAAATACTCGGTTATTATGCTATTCTCTGTTGTTTATGTATAAGAATCTCCATCCAGGCCAGGCGCAGTGGCTCACTCCTGTAATTCCAGCACTTTGGGAGGCTGAGGCGGGCAGATCGATGTGAGGAGAATGAGACCATCCTGGCTAACATGGTGAAATCTAGTCTCTACTAAAAATACAAAAATTTAGCTGGCTGTGGTGGCTCGCACCTCTAGTCCCAGCTACTTGTGAGGCTGAGGCAGGAGAATCACTTGAACCCAGGAGGTGGAAGCTGAGGTCGAGCCACTGCACTCCAGCCTGGGCAACAGAGTGAGACTCAGTCTCAAAAAAAAAAAGGAAGAATCTTCACCTTTTTTTTTTTTTTTGCTAATACATTTTACTTTAATTAAATCCTAAAGAATCAGATCTAACATTTCATATTCAAATAATTTAATTCAAGGATTATAGTGTAAATAATAAAAGTAGTTTCTTGTCTGGCGGTCTATTGACGAGTAATCTCAGGAAACCAGATTGTAAATATAAATTTATATGTGTATTTATTTTGTCTCCCCAACCCCATCCTAACATGCTATTTTCTTTTTCAATTTTTGCTTCTGCTCCTAGATCTCACAGAGACAAGACTTTTCATCAATTCAATCACAGCATAGGTTCCAATCTGAATTGCTGTTTGTGCTTACCTCTGTCATTAACATTTTTGGTCTGAAGATTATGGTCTGAAAATTCCTCATAATTATTCTTTTAAATGGCTACAGTATGCTATAACTTAGGGAGTGCTTCTCCAATTACAGCCCACATCAATCATTTCCAGCTTTTTGCTCTCGTGGAAACACTTTCATAAACATCTTTATGAATACATTTTTTATTCCTTTTGAAACATGGATCCTTATGTAGCATACAAAGTGTTTCTAATCACTCTCTTCTCCCGTTAATATCACACTAATTTATAAAGTACATGTTTTACATCACTTCACCCCTATTTAATGTTTTCACTTGCTTATGGCTTATGTAGGGGTTTCTTCCATCTTTGGTAGATCTGTTTGGACAATGTGGTTACCACAGACATTTCAGGAAGCCAATTAACCGTAAGTGAATGAAGTGATTTCATAATCTGCACACTAACCCTAAAAGAAATTTAGCCTTTTGTCTTTTTCTGCCATCTTGGATTTTTTAGTCTCCGCAATGAAATGTTATTGCAGCCCCTCTTTGTGTGATGTTGCCATTGGCCATTCCTGCCTCTTGTGCGGCCATGGAGTGCTGGGCCTCCATGAGGGTGAGGAGGGGTGGGAAAGACTGCAAGCTGGACAGGGGAGAACCACAGGGTTGGACCCATCACACCAGGTCAGTCACCGCCACGGAAGGGGTACAACGTAGTTTGGAGAGAATCTGCCGCAACCATTTTGTTTTGTTACTGTTCCTTTAGATAGACTAAAACGTAATGGAGGATGAGAACAATCCCTTTCATGGGCAGAAATTGTATACGTCATTTCCTTTTGTCTGGTATTGAAGGAAGTCTGAGTCTATTATTTCTTTTGCAAGAACTATCAAAAAATTACAAGTGCATTTTAAATAATCTGACTATTTCTATGTATCATACTGCTGTTGGACTAGGCCTTGTTTTTTGAAAAGTAAGAAAAACTCCCATCTGCTCTAAATTTCTGTGATTAAAGTTTTCCAAAAGAAAGGACACAGAATTCTTATGACTTTAGGATTAGGCAAAAACCCTAGAGATCTGCCCCAACTGGTCAGCCCTGGGACGAAGTCTGTGCTGATGGGTAGGGCAAGGGTCATAGGGGCAGCTGGAGTAGGATACGTGACACGTTTAGGGTCCCAGAGCCCTGTCCTATGAGCTTGGAGTCCAGACTCAAGCACCCACTTGGACTCTAGCTTGCTTGTGATTGGGGGTGTCTTATTGCATTTATGTCTCTGTAAAGAAATACCTGAGGCTGCATAATTTGTAAAGAAAAGAGATTGATTTGGCTCATGGTTCTGCAGGCTGTACAAGAAGCTTGGCTTCTGCTTCTGGTGAAGGCCTCAAGAAGCTACCACTCATGACAGAAGGTAGAGGGGAGCAGGCATCCCACGGCAAGAGAGGAAGGAAGAGTGAAAGAGGAGGAGGTGCCAGACTGTCTTCTCAACAGTCAGTTCTCAGGGAAATGAACAGAGTGAGAACTCACTCATTACCACGACGAAGGCACCATGCCACTCACAGGGAATCCACCCTCATGACCCAAACACCTCCCACCAGGCCCCGGTCACATGTCAGCATGAGATCTGGAGAGGTCAAACATCCAAACTTACCAGTGGGTAGATCACCTCCCTGCACTGTGCTCTAGTTTCTCCAGGAGTCAAATGCTGTAAATGTGCCCTGCCTTCTTCCCAGGCTATTCATAGGCTCCAGGGGACATAGAACGTATTTTGTTAACCACAAAGGGATGCATATGTGTAAGGGGTGTTGATGATGATGTTTCTATATTTGTATAGAAAACTGAAATACTAATGTCTTTCATCAGCTGGAATGGAAATGATGGAATGAATAAGATAGTATTTCAACAAGCCATACCCGGTTGACCAGAAATCTTTAGAGTGAGGTCTTGACCTATATAGACTCCTCAACACATACCCGTTTAGTGACTAACTCCAAGAGCCTGCGACCAGCTCTGGGAGCCATTAGCAGAGACACAGCTGTGCTTCAAGTCACAACTGTTCTGTACTATAGAGTCCCTTTTGAGGAAATCATAATCTAATTGATATTTTCATACCAGTATGTAATGAGAATAATAAGGTGTCTCTTTTTTCCCCCTTTCTCCTCATCCTCCACCATCACCATTGTCTGAAAATTTCAGAGACTGTGTATCACTGTGGCCAGGGAATAAGATGAAAATGGGGGGAAATGGTCCAAAGTTGAACCCAGGGCCAGATGAGGCCACTAAGGACCCTGAGAGGCACCACCCCCTAAGCTTGGAGTATATTAGATCAGCTGGACAAACACTTACTGCAATATCCCAGGAGATACTAAAGTATCATCTGATAGCAACTTCTCCAAGAGATCACGATCTAATGGAAAACATGAGAAAGCAAATTCTTACACTACAACCTTCTACTTACAAAGTGTCCTGAGGAAGCTGCAGGTGAGTCTTATTGCATAGGGGCGATATGGAGGGCCACTGGAAACCTACCAACAGAAGGCAACATTTGAGCTGAGCTTTAAGCAATGAGGCGGCATTTGCCCATGAAATAAGGGAAAGAAGAAGGCATTTCAGGCAGAGGAAACAGTATGAGTAAAGGCCTGAAGACCTGGACATGCATGAAATGCTTAGATGAGGGCAAAGAAAATATGGAGGTGGGAGTGAGGGGTGTGTAAGTCAGCAGTGGTCGCATTATGCTGCAGTAACAAACATCCCCCATTTCAGTTCCTTATAACATAAAGAACTAGACAGAATCCATGGCCATCATGGTCAGCAGTGACTCTCCTGTTGTCTTTGCTCCAGGTCCCCATCTGATGAAACAGCTGCTATCTACTCTGCCCATCCAATATAGTAGTCACACAACATGAGGCTGCTAAATTATCCAATGGATACATATGGCCAGTTGGCCACCATGTTGGACAGGAGGAATATTACAGAATATTTCCAGTATTGCAGGGAGCTCTACTGGCCAGACTGGCTTTTTAAAATAAAATGTTATTGGAACATAGTCAGATTCTTTCATTTACGTATTATCTAGGATTACTATTGCATGACAACAGCTGAGTTGAGAAGCTACAATGGAGACCATTTGGCCCACAAAGCTGAACACATTCACGGGAAAAGTTTGTTGACACCTAGTCTAGACCATGGTCCCCGTTGTCACAGCAGAGGGAAGACGAGCTCCAGCTCACGTGTTACCTCTGCTCACAATTCATTGGCCCAAATTAGTTGTTGGCACCCAGCCAAACAGGGAGCCACAGAGTGCAGAATTAACCATTTACCTGGAAGGAGGGGAAGGTGGAACGTTAGGCACACTGGCAGCTACAAGGAAGACACGGCTGGGCACAGCCCAGAGAGCTAAACTGGGTTGAAAAGGCCCAGAAGTTTGAGCTTTACAGTGAGTTGATTGGGGCATTAACAAAGCTTTTTGATAAGGAAAGGGATGGATGGAAGAATATATTATTTTGGAGGCTGTTGGAAATGGATGGGAGCAACCATTGCTGGCAGAAAGGAAGTCAGAGAAAACTTGGGAGAAAGAATTCAAGGGCCAGGCGCAGCGGCTCACGCCTATAACCCCAGCACTTCGGGAAGCCAAAATGGGCAAATCACCTGAGATCAGGAAGTTTGAGACCAGTCTGACCAACATGGAGAAACCCCATCTCTACTAAAAATACAAAATTAGCCAGGCGTGGTGGCATATGCCTGTAATCCCAGCAACTCGGGAGGCTGAGGCAGGAGAATCACTTGAACCCGGGAGGCGGAGATTGCGCCATTGCCCTCCAGCCTGGGCAACGAAAGCAAAACTCCGTCTCAAAAAAAAAAAATAATAATAATAATTCAAGAAAGACATAATGAGGGCTCCAAGAACTTTCAAAGGTATGGATTGCTTCACAGGAAGTGCAGCATGGCCTCAAGCAGGTAGTAGCCCCTTCCCAAGGCAGCAGAATAAAAACAGCAACATTTATACAAGCACACTTTGCATGCCAGGCACTGCTCCAAGCATTTTGGATATGGTAGCACATTTAATTTCCCAGACAAACTCATAAGGTGGCAACTATTTTATCTCCATTTCCCACATGAGCACGATAAATAGCTTGTCCACGGTCACGGCGCGAGTGAGGGGTAGAGCAGGAATTCATACCCAAGGTCTGGCTGCTCCTGGGTCCCGTGCCCAGAGTCAAGTTCACCTGCAGCCATCCATGGCACATTTAGCACTACCTGGCCGCCCCTTCTGATCCCCCGACGGGGCTCTATTGACTCTGAAGAAAACTGCCTAAATTTATAGATTATGTGGACTGTTGCTTTTTACTCTCCAAAACACATTAAGTGATTTTGTCTGGAAATGTTTTACAAGCCCCAATTATGCCTCCTACATTCCCTCCCCGGTACAGCCCAGGTCCCCAGCCAGGACTGTAAAAGAGCCTTTTCTTCTTTCGAAAGCCTCTTAACTCTCTGCCCCCAGAGAGGGCTGGTTCTCCCTGAGTCTGGGAAAAGCCAAGCTCCCGTTCAGGCCCACGGGGAGTTTTGAGACTGACCGTCATGTCTCAGTCCTGCTTTCGCCCTTTTCACAAGGCTCTTTAATTAGGTTCAGAAACATGTTTATGATCCTGAGAACCAGCCTGTGTTATACTAGGTAAGTTCAAAGCTCCATTTCCCCCAATAACTCTCAGAACATTTCAGTAAACGCGGAGGCCTGGCCCACAGCCAGCTCTGAACAAAATCAGACTGCAGGCAAACACCTCCAGCATCCCCTGCTCTGGGCAGCTTTGGAACGAGGAGGGGATTCAGGCTGGTACAGAACTGGGTCTCCTTCCAGGCCCCTCTCTCCACTGGCCAAACGACCTTGAGCACATTACTTTACCTCTTTAAGCCTTGGCATCCTGATTTTCAGAATACAGATTTACTTAAAATGGGAACCATAATGGCTCTGGAGATTATAAAAATGGAATGATATTTAAATGTTAGTGCTTTCAAAAACTTGAGAGATTAAGGGGAAAGCACCAATCTAACCATGATAAAATAAATTTAAGACGTCTAAGCCTTTATCCTTGACCTGGGAAAGTTGTCATTTAGTCAGTGTCAAATGAAAATTCTGCCTTTTGGTTTGTATTCCAGTTTCTTTTTCTTTCTTTCTTTTTTTTTTTTTTTTTTTTGTTATGGAGATGGAATCTCTGTTGCCCAGGCTGGAGTGCAGTGGCGTGATCTCAGCTCGTTGCAACCTCCGCCTCCCAGGTTCAAGCAATTCTGCTGCCTCAGCCTCCCAAGTAGCTGGGATTACAGGCGTGTGCCACCACACCCAGCTAACTTTTGTGTTTTTAATAGAGACGGGGTTTCACTAGATTGGCCAGGCTGGTCTTTAACTTCTGACCTCAAGTGATCTGCCTGCCTTGGCCTCTCAAAGCGCTGGGATTACAGGCGTGAGCCACCACACCCGGCCCCAGTTTCTTTTTCTAGCCATCATAGAAGTTCTGGAGAAGATCATTTAGATGAAGTTTCTTATAAGGAATAGCTCCTGATACCTGTAGGTCAGTCGCAATCATATTGGCTTATAAAATGGCTGCCACTTATTATTGTATATTGTGTCAAGTGAAATTTTTAAAGGATGTCCTTAGATTTTGGATAAATACTTTTAATTTGCTGGGTTTTCTTATTTTAAAAATATTTTGATGTTTTAATATTCTTCCAATCCTGATTTTTTGTTTTAGTTTTTGTTTTGATAAAGGTTATTGAATGATTCTCTCACTGACAATACCATTATAATGACTGTACATTTTCACCGACTTTGGAAATTCAGACTAAATAAAATCACTTAATCATATTGGGAAAAAAGAACTTAGAATGAGAATAATGGCTCTGGAGGCTATAAGGACAAACGCTATGTAATGTGGCTGGATGCAGGGGCTCATAGCTGTAATCCTGGAACTTTGGTAGGCTGAGGTGGACGGATCACCTGAGGTCATAGTTCAAGACCAGCCTGGTCAACATGATGAAATCCTGTCCTTATTAAAAATACAAAAATTAGCTGAGTGTGATGGTGGGCGCCTATAATTCCAGCTACCTGGGAGGCTGAGGTACCAAAATCACTTGAACCTGGGAGGCAGAGTTTGTGGTAAGCCAAGATCAGGCTACTGCACTCCACACTGGGCAACAAAGTGAGACTCTGTCTCAGAAAAAAAAAAAAAAAATGCCACCCATGTTATCATGTTATTTATCTTTCCTTTTCCCTCCTGGGGCCTGATGGGGCTGCCCACTCTGAAGAGGCAGGCCACAAGGTGAATGGAAGCCAGGCCCTTCTCCTGGGAGGCTGCAGTTTCATTCTCTATCCTGGGAAATGACATCCCCTCCCTGTGGGGGCCTTGGCTTCAATCACAGGGCTGTCGGCTCCAGAAGGCGTTAAAACTGTGGTAGGAAATGTGTTTCTGCAGCTGGGAGCAGCCCACGCACAGTAAAACCCATGTCACAGTCACTGAATAGCAGTGCCCAGATTTCACAGGCAGGTTCCTCAAATCCTCACCACTCACCAAGATGGGTGTGATCGTCACTCTCATCTCACACACGATGAAAGAGAAAGAACTTGCCTGAGACTTCACAGTGAGTCAGAGACAGAATGAAGGCTAGAACCTAGGTCAGAGCCCACCAAACCCCACGACCATGTGCTGTGGGGAGACACACCTCCCCTTCCTTCCCCGCGGTTTTGGGAAAGCTGAGCAGAGCCCTCATTGGCACTGGCTGGTGGAAAACCATGTGCCACTGGGGATTTTATCAGCAACCTCCCTCCCCTGGTCCCACAGGGTGGGCCATTGTTGGGATCCAGGGAGCTCAGAGGAACGAAAGCACTCTTGGGCCCCTCCTCATCTCCTCTCCCTCCACCTGTTTTCTACCAGCACTGTCCCTCTGACCTCACGTGGTCTTTACTTCCCACAAACATGGCTGCCTGCCTCTCTGCTTTCCCATGGAGCTGCCCACTTTCCCAGCACATCCAGCAGCCCCTGCCTTTTTCTTTCTTACACCCATCCTCACTGAAGGGGGCCGCAAGGTGCCATGGAAGGAGCACTGGACAGAAAGTCCAAAGACCCAGTTCATATCTCAGCTCCACCACTGCTTCCTTACCGTGTGATCCTGGGGAAACCTCCTGCCCTCTCTGGGCTTCACACACCGCATATATAAAAGTGCATTCAGCCCGCAGATCTCTGAAAGCCTGCCTAGCTGTTGTGCTCAAAATACCCTATCTGGGACCTATCATTCTCCCGCCATTGCCATCTGACCTCAGCCCTAGGGACTAGCCACACAAAACAGTTTAGAAGGAAAAAGCCTCCATCTGGGTTTTAGGATTTACTACTGCACTATGGTAAAAATCCCAACTCTTCAGCAATTCAGTGATTGAAAACAATGGAATCAAACAGGAATTTGACATTCATTTCTCCCAGTTAACAGTCCTGTGACCCCCACATGCGTTACTCACTTAGAAAGCGTGGCTTGCAACATACAGGGTGTTGTGGCTGGAATGCTTAGGCAACTCAGGCCACTCACATGAAGCGCCTGGCATCCCAGAGGGCTCGAGGCATGGTGCTGCTTTTCCCATGGCTGAAAGCAGCAGCGGAATGGGAAATGAGTCACTCTGCCTCTCGGGTCTCAGTCATCCCCTTGGGACCATGAGCAGGTTGCACTGGAGAATTTCCTGGAGGTGTTTTTTCTTTTTTCTTTTTTTTTTGAACCTGCTGTGTTTCTGTGGCAAATACATCAAGGTATATAGGTCTTCCCCTTGGATCTTGGGTCTCTTTTTTTAATAATAGTTTTATTGAGATATTATTCACCTACCATACAATTCACCCACTTAGAATATACAATTCCGTGGTTTTTACTATAGTCATGGAGTTGCACAACCATTGTTGCAATCAGCTTTAAACCATTTTCACCATTCCAGAAAGAAATCCTGGCCCCATTTGCTGTCATTTCTCACCCTCCCCAGCCTCTAGGCAAACACTCATCTACTTTCTGTCTCTCTGGTTTGGCCTGTTCTGAAGATTCCCTATCAACGAAATCATTCTCTACATGGTCTTCCTGCCTGGCTTCTTTCATTTAGCACATGTGTCCGGGGTTCACTGGGCTCGCCCAGCTCTTTCCGCATCCCCTCTTTCCCAGCCTCACCCTGCCTGCTCCCAGCAGGGCTGCAGC